TGAAAACTCGTAAATGATGAGTGCACATTTGTATTTCATTTGATCTGAAAGGACAGTGTAAGGGTTTAACTGTACTCTGAGATCAAAAAACAAGATAACAAATTGGTTTAATTAAAGTTATATAATAAGATACAAGAACTGCATGTGACTGCCCTATATTTCTACACATTGTCAAAGTGTACCAAGCTGTACAGTATTTTTTATTCATGACAGCTTCTCGTTAACTTATAATGTGTTAAAAATGATTTGATACATGCTCATTATTTACTCAACGCACTGTTTTATTGACTAAGCCAGTATTTTTTCAGCTTATCGGTTGAACTGGTTGGCCGGCATAGAGTTTGTTTAAAAAGTCCACCCTAAAGGTTCACATTTAAATATATAAAAGTTCTGTGTTTCTAGAGTTCTGTGACAAGGCACATTGTGTCTTCGATGGTTTGGTTAAAAAGATCTTCCCTGAAGTCACAGCATACGAAGTGGATAGCTTTAAAATGCTCTTTTTAAGGAATTTGTCTCAGTTATCCTTATTTCTCCTGGTAACAGCAGATGATACTGAATGACAACCTGTTTGCCAGCATCATGGTCATTTGTATTTCTCAGTCTGATTGAAAGTTAAAAAATGTCATCTAATTGCATCATCCAAGTTAATATTCTGTTTCATCTTAAGATTTAAATAAGTGTAGAGTTTGAGAGTGACATTGTTTGCAGATTCTGAATCATATTATTTTTTATTACAGCCAGCACATGATCTGATATGCTTCTCAACATCTGGAGTCTCTGCTCACACCAAAGACCTTCAGCTCCACAGTGAATATTCAACATGCATTGGCATTGCGAATGTCAGCGTATTGCAGCGTGTTTGCATAACCTGGATTTCTGATTGCACCATGTACACATTGCTCACCCGGCATTTCAATGTTTCTTTGTTGCTCTATCTGTGTGTATATGGGAGTATATGTGCAGACATCTTCCTGGGGGAATGTGGTCATCTAGATATTAGCTTCTGTACCAACTGGAGCTTCAAAGCATAATTGGCTGCTTTATGGATAATTTAAAACTCAGTTAAAGAAATGGTAACCATATATTCAAATTTCTTTATTAGGATAAACCCCTTGAGGTGAATCACCTCGTTTTCAAGGGGGTCCCAAGAAAAACCATGCACAGTTCAATGTCTCTACAAACATAGTGTGTAAAATATGTGTGATGCTTTCTATCTATACACAACATCGGAGGTGTAGTTCAGACACACAGAGGAAAAAACATTTCAATATATACAATGAAAAATTATAGAATAACCATAGATAAATATGGTAACACATCACTCCTCTTGCTCTAACATCATTATTTCCAATATACCTTCCATTAGTTGTGAAGGGTGTGTTGGTGTTGTGTGTTGCTGAGATAATGGCCTCCACAAGTCACAGCAGGTAGACCACACCTGACATCAGGCAAAACCAGTCCCAATTTAATACGAAGATCCAACATATGGCCACCAACACCCTGATTTAATACACACACGCAACCACACAAACACACAACTCAAACAGGGCGTGACAGAAGAGAAGGGAACAGGTACTAGCACACCTTGTTCTCTCTTTCACAGGTCATGGAAATGTTTGAGAAGAAAATAATTCTGAGTTAATATTAATAATACGGTCCAGGAAATGGTTTATTGCTTAAAAACAAGAATATCTTTTCATTCATTGGTGCTCAGTGTTGACTTTGAATGTCTTCACCTGCTGCATGTAATGATTCAGAAATGATGCCAAACTTTTCATGAAGCCTGGAGTGACTCTTTGCATATTTGGTGTCACTGTTCATTTTTAATAACTTTGTCTAGTCGCTGCTCTGAATTCCCTAAAGTGGTTTGATGTGAGCGCCATTAATGGATTTCGTTCGCAGATGAAGATGAACCCTCCTGTTATCCTCAGATTGACTTTACACCCTGTAACCTCTGGTGTCAATTTGACCCCAGTAGTTTAAAACTCAAGACAATGATCACATTCCAAATTGTCTCTGGTGCTTTAGGTATCTTAGTTGACTACCTAAATAACCTTTTAAATAAAGCATTACCCCAATCTTCCCCCCTACAGACCCCTTTATACATCCAGAATTCCTATTATGTGTGAAAAATATATAAATCACCATAAAATCTCACTGACTGAAATAAAATGTAAGAATAAGATCTTTTTGATGTTGTTAAAGGACCAATGACTAAAGCAGAGGGTAGGTTTTTTTTACAATGATACATTTGCATGTAATAGTCACCTCAATATCATCCTACACAATCAACACAAATATGTGTAAAATATTGACATTTGTATATGTTTTATACTCCTAAAACAGCCTGGGGTTAAATTGACCCCAAGGAACACTGATGCGTACAAAGTGCGTACAGGACATTTAAAAAAGATCTTCATGTTCATTTTAGGTTTACCCATTAGTCCTCACTAAATTAGGAAAAGTCATGAAATACTAAGCAAAACAAATAATGTGACCCATTTTTTTAGATACGTTAAACATTGAATGGGGTCAAATTGACCCCAAGGATAACAGGAGGGTTAACATTTTAATTTTGTTGTTTGCATGAGCAAGTGTTTTTGCAAAGGAATAACCCCGGATTATACTTGGTTTAATTAACAGTCACAAACTGTATATTTTTCAAGAGATACAACTAAAGCCGTTAACACTCTAAACATGTTGAAAACAGGATTATGGCATAAATAACAACTATTTGCATCCTCTTTGATCTCTCCAGAGAGAGGGTT